TACTCGCTGCTCATCTACATCTTCTACAGCCTCTTCCGCAGGGATGGTGGGGCCGCGGCGGCCGCGGGCGCGGGGGATTCCACCCAGGTGAGCCGGCGGGCGCAGCGCCCCGCTCAGGAGACGGCTGGGGTCGTCGCAGGCCCGCGCAGCCCACGTCCTCGGGCGCCGCCTCTGGGGAGTGGGGGGCCTCTGTTCAGGTGTTGGAGGCCAGAGACCGCAAGGAGCCCGCGGGCTGTCCGCCCCTCCTCAGGGGCCCCTCTGCTCCCTCCTAGAGTGCCCGCTGCCCTACGAAAGGCCGTCGCCGCCCAGGCCAGCCCATGCCGCACCTGTGGACGGAGCTGACCGGCCTGGCCGGTAGGTGCTGTCCGCGGGTTGGGAGCGCTGCGCCTGGGGGGCCAGCAAGAACTGGCCTCCGAGGGAGGGAGGGGCGCCGTGACCTCCTCGCGGACGCGGAGGTGGCACCTGGAGGCTCGGCCTTCTGCGTGACGTGGAGTGCCTCGCGCTCTCACTTCCTGGCCCGCAGGTGGCTCCGAGTCGGAGGATGGGCTGGCAGGGGCCGCCGAGGGCCGCCGGGGTGAGATCTCCCTGGAAGAGGCTCTCATGCGCCTTGCCGAGTTCCTCTCCGTCCACCTGGGGGCGGACGAGAGCTGCGGTAACCCTCCCGACACCGGCAAGGTGAGCCTGGCTCTGATCCCAGTCCCCTCTTCGCTCCCAGTTCTCCTGACCCCCTCCTCCTGTGACTTCAACCCCTAAGAACTTCGTGCCTTTGACCTCATCCCCTGGAAGACTTACAACTCCTTTGGGAAGATTCCTGCCAAAGAACCACCTGTCCCCGTCTGTCCCCAGACCTGTCGTCCCTCCTCAGCCCTGCTGTCCTCGCCCTGGCCCACTCCCCCAGTGTCCCTGCCCTGGTCTTATCTTCTACAGCCCATTGAGGCCCCCCCGCTGTTGACAGTGACCAGCCAGCTCTTGGCTCTTCTGGCATGGATTCGGAGCCCCAGGGGAAGGCAAGGCCTGCTCCAAGGGACTCAGCCAGCCTCGGGGGTGCAGCCGTCTACTCCGGATGGTGCGTGTAAGGGCCACTGAGGTGAAAGGAACCCTTCGGAGGGAACAAAGCCACACAGACCCAGTCAGCTTGGAGTCCAGAGTCCCAAGCCCTGCTCTGGGGGTGCCCCTTTCTTTGGGACAGAGACCTCCTCATTCCTAACTGGGTCCACTTCACCTCAGGACCTCTGTCCCAAGAAGAAAGCCCTTCCCACCCCGGCCCAGCCCTGGGGGAGGCCCCCAGGGATGAGGCCCGGGGGCAGCAGCCTCCGCAGTTGGAGGAGCAGAGGGCCTGGCATCGGCTGGAGCAGCTCATCCTGGGACAGGTGAGAGTGAGCCCAGGAGCACAGGGACAGGGGCGGGGGCCACAGGAAGTGCTGCACTGTGCCCTCTGCCTCCCCAGTTGGAAGAGCTGAAGCTACAGCTGGGACAGCAGGAAGAGGAACTGGGCCGGCTGCGCCTGGGCGTGGTGAGCAGCTGGGGGCGCCGGGCGGGGTATGAAGGGGCATACTTTCAAGTGAGGTTCTGAAGGCTTCCCTCTCCGCCAGGGGGCGACAGACTCGGAGAAGAGGGTGCAGCACCTCACTTTGGAGAATGAAGCCCTGAAACAGAGCCTGAGCCTGATGCAGGACCTCCTACTGCGCTGGGGGCCCAGCCCTCCCTCCAGGGACCGCCAGGTACTCATGCTTCCTCACGGCCTCTGGCTTGGCTTTCAAGTGCCCAGTCCCAGGCCTGTGGATGGGCCCTGGAATGGCCTGGCAGGACAGTCCCATCCAAAGGCTGACACTCATGGGAGAAACCTTCCCCCCCGTGCCTGGCCCCAGGAAAGCAGAGGGACTTGGAAGACAGAACCCCACGAACAGTTGGAAGGTGTGGGCTTACACGGGCTCAGCCTGTCCCCCTTGACTTTACTTCCCCACCTGAGTATTAGGGACACTGGAATGGCCTCCCCTAAGTTCTCTTCCAGCTCCACAGCCCGCCTGACTCCTGTCCCCACAGCAGGGAGAAGCTGAAACTCTGTTGGAACTCCAGAGCCGGCTTCAGGAGGCCCAGGACACCACGGAAGCCCTGCGAGCCCAGGTGGGCTCGGGCCCCAGAGAGCAGGGAGGGCTGGGGCACAGGGAGTGGGGGTGGAGGCAAGGCCTGGTAAGTGCCTGTTTCCTCAGTGACAGGGGTGGGGTTGGGCGGGGCAGTTGGGGGTCCAGGAGGCACAACTGCAGGGTCTCCAGGGGGCCCTCCGGCAGCTCCAGCAGGAGACACAGCAGAACTGCAGGCAGGCGTTGCAGCAGATGCACAAGCAGCTTGCAGGTAAGGGCCCGAGGGGGGTTGTAGGGGTGGGCGGGCCTGGCCTTCCCCTCCAACAGCCTTGCCCCCCCAGGGCTCCGGGCACGTATGGCCAGCTTGCGTCAAGGCTGTGGCGACCTCCGAGGGCTGGTCAGCACCTTCACCCAGAGCTGCCAGGGCTCACTGAGAGAGGCCCGCGGCCAGGTCAGACCCCTTCTCTCCAGGCGTCCGGCTGAGTCCTCCACAGGGACATGCTGGACATGCCCAACCTGTTGTTTCGCCCTCCCCATGGGGTGGGGGGAGTTGTTTATGCACCAAAGGGGGTTCTGGAATAGCTTCTGGCGGACCCTGGGCTGGCCTCACTTCTGGGTCTATTTCCTCTGGTGCAACTGGGGTGTCAGCAAAGCCCTCGCAGGCCTGCTGTGAAGTTCAGAGATGGGTGGGTGTGATGTCCTTGCACGTGGACTTCAGACTCTGTCCCAGGCTCAGAAGATCTCTTTTGCCACTGCAAATTGTGGGTGGCCACTGCGGTCAGTCAGCCCTGTTTGTGGACTTTGCTCAACACCCCTGTTCCCTCAGGTATCCTGGGTCCTGGGGGCACTGTCAGCCGAATGTGAAAGCACTGGTTCCCAGGTCCCCGAGGAGCAGCAGGGGCCACCAGTGGGGTACCCAGGGCGGTTGCTGGAGCTCAAGGGTAGGCCGATTTGGAGGGTGAAGGAGGGGAGAGGCGCGCCTCTCCAAGCACCAGGCTCACTGACCCAACTTCCAACACAGGCAATATTCGGGTGCTATGCCGGCTGAGGCCAGGGACGCCCTGTGGCCTGGTGAGCACAGAGCCTGGCCCCGGCGGGATCGTCACCACCTGCTATCGAGGGCGCCAGCGCCGGTTCCGCCTGGACTGGGTCTTCCCTCCCGACGCCAGCCAGGAGGAGGTGATCCCACCCCTTGCCTCTGTCCTGACCCCTCTTCAGAGTCCCCCAGATCCAGGGAGGGCCCAGTCCTTCTCTCTCCATGCTGGCCTTCTGCAGGAGAGGGCAGGGAGCAGCAGGCCTCAGAGCCTAGCTGGGTGCCTCTTCCACAGAACTATGCAGGCCCAGGGGCAACAGGCATCTTCGTTTGAACAGGCAGCTAATGTCTCAAACTTGAAGGACCACGAGCTCACTGCTTATGCAGAGCCGTCACTGAGTGTGACTAGGACCCACGGGCAATGTCTTGATGCTCATCTTTCTAGGTGCACTGGCCACCCCTCCCCATGGCCTGGGCTCTGCCCAGTGTGCAGTAGGCAACCCCACAAGCCCTGGTGAGGGTGGGTGGGCAGGGGAGCTTGGAGCCCATGTGCCCCCACCCGCCTTCCCTTTGCTACCGCACTCACATGGGAAAGTACTGGAGCTGGCCAGACAGACGTGGGCTCAAACCCTACCCTGCCACCAACAGCATGCCCACTGACACAAACCAGCCACTAGAGCTGTCCCAGAAGACGACGAGGCAGCTCAGAGTGGGTGGGACTGGCAGAGCCGGCGAGGACTCAGACTTGGATGTCCAGTGGCCTGTGTGGCCTCTGTGGGATAGGAGTGGCCAAAGGCAGCAGGTGCTCCTTCCGCATCTCCTGAGGTCTCATTGATCCTCATTCCCACCACCCTTCTGTTCACCCTCCATGTCCCCTCTCAGACAGGGCCTCAGCTGCACCTCAGACCACAGCCCTGCACAGAGCTCCGGTTCCCCTTGCCCTCTGACCTCCAGGTAGTCTTTCTGGACAAAGTCCTCCAACTCAATGTGTCCAAACCAAAGAGCCTATGTCAAGGGTGGCAATGGCGTCATGGTCTACCCCTCCACATGTCACTTTCCTCCATGGGATCTTAGTGGTCACGCTGGCCAGCCCTTCCAGCAGAGGTGGGGAGTCCAGTGAGGTGCCAGCCCCTTTCTGGTTTCCAGCAGGATGCAAGTCCCAGCCCTGTTTCCCAATAGCCTCCTCTGTACCCCAAAGGCCCAGGCTCCTGTGGTCTGGGCTGGCTGCCCAGGGCCCCTCCTCTAGGCTTCACAGGGTGCATATTACACCAGTGGGGGACAGGTGCCATTGCAGGGACCGGAACCACCCAGGAAGGGCCCTGAGTGAGGAGTACTCACCTCTGCTCCCACTGGTTTGAACAGGCACTCAGCTCAGCATGCAGGCTCCTGACCACTGCTCCATGGGCCCCCGGTGAATCCCAGGAGTCCAGTCCTTCTTATGGGCTGGCCCACTGCCTGTCAAGTCCCTTCACTCTCTCTCTGGCAAACTCTCATTTTACCTTCAGACCTCAGGCAACGGCCACTTTCTGCCCTGGAGCCTCCTCTGTTTGGGGTCCCCCCAGCACTGTGCCCCTCCGAAGCCCTTGCCTTACACTCAATGCCCAAGTGCTCCCAGGACCCCCTCCCACTCCCTGCCAGGCACAAGCAGGACAGCCCAACACAGCCTTCTTGACCCTCTGCCCAGGTCTTCCGGGAGCTCCAACCGGCCGTGTTGTCCTGCCTCCGTGGCTACAGTGTCTGCATTGTCACCTACGGTCAGACGGGGACAGGCAAGACCTACAGCATGGAGGTGAGGTGGCGGCCACTCCCTGAGGGAAGAGACCCAGGGAGCCCGGGGGTCCTGGGGCTGGGTGGGATGTGAGCCTGCATGTGGCACTCTGCCCCAGGGCCCGCCCGAGGACCCCGGCATAGCTCCCAGGGCGCTGCAGTCCCTGTTCCGGGAGATGGGGGCCGGAGGGCAGCATCGAGTGACCCTCAGCATGGTGGAAATCTACAATGAGGCTGTCAGGTCAGGCCAGAGGCCACCTCCCCCGTGCCCTCCTGCCACAGTCCCCCGGAGTCCAGCCAGAGCCAATCCCTGTGCCCTTTCTCACCAGGGACCTCCTGGCCCCAGGGCCTCCTGAGCGCCTGGCCGTGAGACAGGGCCCAGCAGGCCAGGGAGAAATTCAGGTGGCTGGCCTCACCCACTGGGACATACCCAACCTGGAGACACTGCAGCAGGTAAGACCCCCTCCCCGTCCACCTGGGAGCCAGGCACCCTGCACAGGTCAGCCCTGTCGCTCGGCTCTCCAGATGCTGAGTCTAGGAAGGAGCAACAGGGCCACGGCGGCCACAGCCATGAACCGGCACAGCTCCCGCTCCCACGCCCTGGTGACGCTGACGCTGCACGCCGCGTCCCCACCGTTGGGTCGGGGCACCACAGGTATTCCTCCCGCTCCCGCGCCCTGCCAGCGCCCACGCCTCCCCCGGAGCCGGCTGCCCTCCACGTTGGGCCTCGCTCCTCCCTGCAGGCACGCTGCACCTGGTGGACCTGGCTGGATCCGAGCGCGCCTGGAAGGCGGGGGCGGCCGGCGCAGCCCCAGGAGACAAAGACCGCGCTCAGCGGCTGCGGGAGGCCCGGACCATCAACCGCTCGCTGCTGGCGCTCGGAGGCGTCATGGCCGCACTGCGCGCCCGCCGGCCCCACGTGCCCTTCCGCGACTCGCAGCTCACCCGCCTGCTGCAGCCGGCGCTCGGACCTGGCGCCACCGCCGTACTGCTGCTGCAGGTGGGCGGCTGGGGCAGCGGGGTTCGGCGGCTCGTTTGCATGACCTTTGCATCCGGGCACCGCCCACCCGCGCTGCTTCCTCGCAGATCTCCACGCGGCCTGGGGACCTCGGGGAGACCGTCTGTTCGCTCAAATTCGCGGAGCGGGTGGGCCAAGTGGAGCTGGGGCCAGCGCGGCGCCGCAGAGCCAGGCGCTCCGGGACGCCCTCCTCCCTCAGCACCGACACCCAGCTCACCGAGACCCCCTGCACTCCCACGCTGTCCCCGGGCAGCCCTCCAAGCCCCCGCGCTGACAGCGGCTCTGGCTCGGCCCCCGGGCTCCCAGAGGTTCAGCCCCCATAATGTCGTGCCCAGGCGTCCGAGGTCGCGCCTCTGCCGGCAGAGGCTGCGGGGGAGGCCTCCCAACCTGTCTTTTGGGGTGCAGCCTTCTTGATCCCTGGGAGTCCACTACCTCCCAGAGCCTCCCCTCCCCCTCAGGAGGATTGTTAAGCTTTAGAAATGATGCCACCCCCCTCCCCAGTTGGGCCACAGGCCCTCTGCTCCCACCTTATCACCATTTGCTGTTATCAAGACACACAGCAGGGGGTCCGGGAGCCGCGCGGAAGAATGACCCACTGGGCGGTTGCCCAAATCACCATCCCTGCCCCCAAAAACCAGACTTGGCGTTAAAATGTTTTAAGTTCCTTTATTGTTACCTGCCTCCCCACACCCCCGACCACATAGGGGCCAGCCTTCATTCCTTTCCCCCTCTCCTAAAGGTGCTACCTCCTTTCCCAGCTAGACAGCAAGGGAGGGTGAACAGGCAGCAGCAATGAGCTCCCCCAACCCAGAGCCAGGGAGGGGAGGTGACAGAGGGTGATGGATGGATGGACAGACGGACAGAGGGCTGAGAAGATGAGGCAGGAAGGGCTTCACCAGGCCCAGCCCTGCGTCTTGGGGGTGGGGAAAGGCAGGTCTGACTCTTGGGGCCAGGTTTGGGGCCCGGCCTGGCTGCCACCCTTCTGTGGGCCATCTAATAAATGTTGTGGACTCTCAGCATGGCTGGCAGCTGCTGTGGCTGCAGACACCCTCCTTCATGGCAGGAGGGACCTCACAGACTGTACCAGGAGAGCAGCCAGCCTGGGGCACTCAGGTCACGAGGGTGGCTGACCCACACGTCATAAATGCTCTTGTTGGGAGGCACCCCCTGGAAGAGGGCATCCAGATCCCAGAGCAGCCCTGAGGGCCCTTGGGCTTCAGGGGCCACCCCCCAGTAGGCTGGGCTGGCTGCAGGTGGGCACTGGGGGCAGGAGGTGGGTGGTAGGGGGGCCAAGGGCATTACCACATTGGGGGTATAGATGGGCAAGTAAGAGGTGGGCAGTTGCCCCCAGAGTGGGGCTCTGTGTCCCCCGCCAGACAGTTCCCGAGTGTCTGGACTAGCCTGCAAGAGATGGAGGGGCCAGGCCCCGCACTCTGGGGGGAGGGGGGAGGGCCTGGTGGTCTCCCCCTGGGACGTCTCCCCCTCACCTCTTGTGGGCCCAGGGAGTGGGCACAGAGGCCACAGAGGCCTCTCCGAGGAAGGCAGGGGTGCAGTGGGCACCCCCTCCTCCCCGGTGCACCCCACGCTGGCTGGAGATGGACTTTTCTTTGGAGGCTGGGGCCAAGGTGGCTCCTCCCCAGGGCCCCCTAGTAGGGACTTGATGCTGAAGCCCTCCCTGGGTGCCGGTGGGGGACTGGGCGGCTGGTAGGGCCTGCCGTGTAGGACATAGGGACCCAGGTCCTGGGCAAAGACGCCGTGAGCGCCCCTGCTCTGCCAGCGCCGGCACAGAGCCGTGTTCTGTAGCCGCAGCGCCTCAGCTGGGATCAGGCTCACGTCGACCGCCCAGAAGTTGCCCTTGGCCTGTGGCTTCGCAGGGTCCTTGGGCACCTGGAGGGGAGCAGGCTTGGGTGGAAGCGCCCGACCTCGGATGCCCAGGACTTCCCCGCCCACCCCTGACCCCAGGCTCCGACCCTTGCCCGACCTCACCTTTTGGAAACATGGGTTGGAGGAAAGGTTGTGGCGGATGGAATCCTTCCAGCCCACGTAGTCATCCCTGAAGAAGGGGAACACAGCCTGGACCTGTCGGATGATCTGAAACCCCGGGAGGCACCCCATGAGCGGTTTCCCCAGAGCAGGCCAGAGGCACTTCCCGTGGAAGGGTCCGGCCTGAGTCCCTCAGCTCGCCCCTTTTGGCAGAGCTGGGTGGGGCCAGGTGGGGGTGGAGGCTGGAGCCTGAGCTGGGTGGGTGGGGATGAGGCCTGGGAAAGGATGAGCCCTACCAGGGTGGAAGTTCATGGGGTGACTGAGGGAAGGGGCACCCACTGAGTGTAGGGGGTTGGGGGAACCCTCTCACCTGTGCCAGCTTCAGCCTCCGTGAGGGTGCGGCCTGGATCACCAAGGCGATCATGGCCAAGTAGGTGTAGGGGGGCTTGTCATGACGCAGGTATCTTTTCTTTCTCCTCTTGGGAGGCTGGGAGGGGGACTCCGCCCCCGGCGGACCTGGGCAAGGGTCTCTGCAGGGCCCCATGCAGTAGAGGCAGGCCACCTGGGCTGAGGCCTGGACCGCTGGAGGGGTGCAGGGCACTGGAGCTGTGTGGAGAGGCAAGGCCTGGGCCAGGGGCCGGGCCTGGGCGGGCGGGCCAGGCCCTTTATCATTCGGATGGAAGGGGGAGGGGAGGGACAGAGGTAGGTGGTAGTGGGGGAGGGGAGAGAGGGCAGTGGCTACCACAATTAGCAAGTTTCGTTTAATCTGGAAGGGAGGGGCGGGAAAGATTCCAGTGGGGACTTCGAGGCCTCAGCCCCCACCCCTGGCCCTACCCTCTTGCCTAGGCATTCCTCTTCAAACTGGAAGGAAGAGCCTAGGAAGCGGCACATGGCGAGGGTCCTGCATCTCACGCCTGGGCGGTGGTCTCAGGCATCCACACAGGGCAGTGATTTGCCCAGGCTGGAGGCCGTACATGCTGGGCTTCCCTTCTCTGTCTGCTTCCCCAACCCAAGACGCCGAGAGGGGGTGGGAGGCCCACTGGAGTTCAAGGCCAAACAGTCAGTAGAGCCAGGGTTCCAGAGGCTGGGACAGCCACCCAGGCCAGTGATTAGGGAGGCCTTCCTGCAGCCCCTGGGTGGTGCATATGATTAATGCACTTGGCTGAAAGGCTGGAGGCTCCAGTCCACCCAGGATACCTCGGAAGAAAGTCCTGGCCATCTCCTTTTGAAAAGTCAGGTACTGAAAATCTTACGGAGCACACATGGGGTTGCTGGGCGTCGGAATCAGGAACCAGGATGGCGACTGGTGGTCCTGGAGGACCAACAGAAGCCCCCAGCCCTGGAACAAAAGAGGAAAGCAAGTGACCCAAATGACTGGCTCCAGGGTGAGCTGCAGGGCTCTGGGTACCCTCCTCTGGGGCCTGGAGGTCCCCTGGGGGTGCCGTCACCCTCAAGTTAGTGTGCGTGAAGAGGGTTCCCTGTAGGGGTTTTCTAGGTGCCTCTTGCAGCCAGGTCTAGAGGCGGCTCAGTTGGGTTGTGGTCCCTGCATGGGAGTGACCCATAGAGCCCCCCTGGGACTCTCCTGGGCACTAGAGTGTGGGTGTTCGTGTGTGAGGGCTCAGATAGGGCTTTGCAGGCAGCCACGGGGTCCTGAGACTTGATCCAGAAGGAGGAGCATGTCCCACAGTTGGTTGGGTGGCCTGAGGGGAAGAGGGGCACTCTAGAATGGGGAAGGCTGAGGGGTCAGCACCCACTGCTCAGGCCTGGGGAGGGGTTTTAAGCGAGCCCTGCTCCTGAAGTGTCTTTCCAGAAAGATGCCTCTGGAAGCTACCCTGAGCCTTAGCGCTCCTCTAAGTCCAGACTCTTCTGTCCCTACCCCTTCTCTGCCCTGGTCACCTGATCTTTGGGTCAGCCAAAGTCTGTGCTCTGGATCCTGCCCTAAAGCCCGCCACACTGGCAGAGTCTGCCCGAGAGGGTACCAGGTCCAGGGCATCGACTGGTGGGTGGTGCTGGTACGAGGATGGGGTGAGAAAGGTTTCCAGATGTAAAGTGAGGCTGCAGAGACACAGGGACAGCACCTTAATATCCGTGGCCCCCAAGACAGTGCAGGTGGGCAGGGCAGAGGATGTTGAGGGTTGGGAAGAGAGGTCTGGGATGTTCCGTGTAGGACTGATCCTGGAATTCAGCGTTTTCTGTGCAGCACTTCCCTCCATTACATCCTTAAAGGGTAGGACGTCTGCAGTGCAGGGCGCCCAGCACACCTTGCTGATGCAGGGTGGAGGAGGAAGCCGCTGTAGCCAGTGCTCGTGGCTGCCCATGTTGGGGTCGCGCCCACCCTCTGGAACTCTGCCTTCAACCTCATCTGACTTGCTCTGGACCCCAGTCCCCTCACCCTCACCACCCCTCAGGGCTCCAGTTGAGAGATCCTGTGTCTCCCCTGGGCTATGACTACCAGCCTCCCAACGGTCTGCCTGTTCCACTCTCCAGCAAAGAGGTATTCCTCTCCTGGTCACATCCCTGCCCAGGATGCAGCCCACTTCCTCGGTCAGGCGCTACGGTGGAGGCTGCTCTGTCCAGACCACCCATCTTTCTGACCACACTCTGCTCCTGTTGTTGTCAGGTGCCATCAGCCGGTTCCAACTCACAGTGGCCCCGTGTGCAACAGAAGGAAGCACCGCCCGGTCCCACACCACCCTCCCAATGGCTGCTATGCTTGCGCCCATCATTGCAGCCACTGTGTGGCTCCATTTCGCTGAGGATCGCCCACCTCCCCGGCTCCTGGCATCGCTCAAGCCCCACCTGAGCGGCTTGCCACTCCCCCAGTGCACCTGCCGTTCCCACCCACCCCCGAGCTGTCTCTGCTGAGTCTGGTCGACCCTAGCCCTCTGTTCTGGTTCCCTAGTGCCGCTCTGACAGGAAATATACCACAAATGGGATGACCTTAACAAACAGGAGTTTATGCTTACAAAAGTCCAAGTTCAAGGTGCCAGGCTCTAGGGGCTGGGTGAAAGCCCCTCAATCTTGGGGCCCAGCTCTGCCTCCTGCTCCCAGCCCACTGGAGCTAGAGGCGTTTCTTCACTCAGACAGCTGCTGGCTGCTGAGGCTGAGAAGCCCCAAGGGTGACAAGTAAAAAGGCACAGTCCCGATGTTACCAATCCACATGGCAGGCCATTAACTTAAGTCCACTCTAAGTCTCAAGGTCGGCAGAGCATACCAAGCTGCTGAGCGAGGACTCGGCTACATGCAGGGTCCAAGCGTGCCATAGGCTAGAGACCATTCTCAAAGCTTCTCCTTATACACAGGAAGCAGACCACATACCCAAAGGCAGCTACTCAGCTGCTTGTGGTAGGTCCCACCGTGGAGTTGACTGCCAATCTCATCATGGGGAATAACTACCACCAGCTGCCCGGCCACTCAACCAGGCCCAGCCAAGTTGACACAAAAACATAACTACCACACCCTCCCTGGAAGAGCAGCATAAACAGGTCACCACAATCCGGCGAGTCTCTGAGCCTAGCGCCCACCCTCCCCGTCACTCCCAGGTCCCGCCCTCGGAAGATTGGCCCCGCCCCCACGGGACACAGCGGCTTCCGGCTCCGGTCCACACGGACCGGAAGTGTAGCGTTGCCATGGCGAGGGCCGGGCGCGGGGCCCGCCCCCGCGGCGCCCGGAGGAGCTCGGGGCTGACTGACTGGCCGACCGGACAGGATCGGGCGCGGCGGCCGCGGCCTGCGCGAGGCGGAAGGTGAGGCTCGGATTTCCGGAACCCGCAGCGGGAAAGGAGTGAGGGAGAAGCCAGATCCGAGGTGGGGAGGCGGCCGAGCCCGGGGAAGAGGAGGCCGGGTCCCCCGGGAGAGGAGGCCGGGCCCGGGGGGGAGAAGGAAGGTCCCTGGAGGAGAGGAGGCCGGTCCCGGAGAGAGGAGTCAGGGACCCCGGGGGAGAGGCCGGTCCCGGAGAGAGGAGTCAGGGTCCTGGAGGGAGAGGAGGCCGGTCCCGGAGAGAGGAGTCAGGGTCCCTGGGGGGAGAGGAGGCCGGTCCCGGCGGAGAGGAGTCAGGGCCCCCGGGGGAGAGGCCGGGCCCCCGGGGGAGAGGAGTCAGGGTCCCTGGGGGAGAGGAGGCCGGTCCCTGGGCGCAGAGGATGCGAGGCAGGAGAGGAGGCGGTGGGGAGGGAACAGGAGAGCAGTGAGTGGGGTCACACCGAAGACCCTAGAGTTGGTTGGGTGAGGCCCAGGGAGAGTGAGAAGACAAAGTGGGGGACAGAGGCCAGGTGGGAGGGGAGCAGAGGAGGAGCAGGCTGGAAGCGGTGGGACTGGGGCTGAGTCTGGGGAAGGGTCTGTGCTCAGCCCAGGCCCGCGCACTTGGGCAGCACCGCCAGGTGAGCACTGGTGGTGGGTGAGGCCGCGGGGCGGCAGGTGCTAAGGGTCAGGAGAGGCTGCAGGCACCTGTGGGTCAGGTAGCAGCACGGATGAGGAAGTGAGCTGAGCCGGAGCGACGTCCGGGAGCACGGTGTGGGCCTCGGAGTCAGACCCTTTCAGAGACTGGAGTGAGCACCTGCAGAGTGGGGGTCCTGGCCCCTCAGGAGTTGGGGTCAGCATGAGAAGTCTAACTCAGCTGGGAAGAGTATCTGGCCCTGTGCAGGGGCCAGAGCGATGCTATGGGCCTGGGGGTGGGACTCCAGGATGAATTGATCGATTTCCCCGGGTGCAGAGAGGGGAGGAGCAAGGTCACCAACCTGTCTGTGTGCAGCCTTGGGGTAGATCCATACTTCCTAGGGTTTCCAACAGCCCTGATCTTCCTGAGCTAGGTTCCCAGGACCTCCTTCTCAGGAACTGTGTGGATTCAAATCGCCGACCTTTCCGTCAGTAGCCAAGTACTTAACCTTTTGAATCACACAGGGACCTTCCCAAAAGTTCTGTGTCTTCAGTCTGTTCTGGGGACAGAGGTGGGGTGACATATTGCTCTGCTCAAACCCGGTCTGGCCCCGCAGTGGGCCTTCCTGGTAACATAACCTTTCCAGGGGCTCCCCTGGCAGGATGGGGTTCCCCCAGGAGAAGTGTCTTGCCTATAGCATGCTGGCTCTGCTGCTGCGGTTCAGTTCAGGGCCACAGAACAGAACTGCCAGTGGGCAGTGGGGCAGGGTTTGCACTGCCCAAGACTGCTTGAGCGATGAGCCAGTGAGGGCTAGAACACAGCCTGTCTGTGGTGGGGACCCCCACCAGGAGACTGAGCTCTGCTTGTCCCATGAAAAGTGCTTGGGGCTGGGGTCAGGAGGCCATAGCTGGGCCTTCCTCCCCTCTCCTGATACTCTTGGGCTGGAGTTCCTACCTCTTGGCTGGGGCTACTTCTTGCCTATTTTGGGCTCTCCTGGACTCCACTCTCCCCAGGTGGGCATCTGGGCAATGGGGCTTCTATAACTTTGTAGGGATTTCTGAGTCTTCAGTCTGTATGTGGACATCTCCGCTGAATGCAGCTTAGGGTCTCAGGTGACCCAACAGATCAAGTGTGGCCTACTACAGTGCCCGTGTCACTGCCCGCCCCCGTTGG